AATCGCGTTCACATGACGACTTAGGTGTGGATCTGCACCCAGGAGAACGACTTCTTGACTTGGAGTATGCTGACGATAGTGCCCTAAACTGTGACAGCTCAGAGACGTGCTAAGCGGTACTGGACAGGTTAGTACTGTCTGTCAGCCGCTTCGGGCTTTGATTTGCACCATCGAAGTACAAAGCGTTCCTCCAAGATTGGCATGGACCGCCTCGTTCGCTGACCCTTGGTGGTGATCAGCTAGAAGTCGTTCGGAAATTCAACTACCTGGGAAGTTGTATCAGCGCCCATGGGATTGAAGATGAAATCACAAACCATATAACAAAAGCACGAGGCACTTTTGCTAACCTTCGCCATTTATGGCGCAGGCGTGACACCACTCTCGCCCTGAAGGGTAGAGTATAAAATGCAGCGGTACGTTTGACCCTACTGGCCCCTTAGATAAACGGAGATAAAGAGACTAGTTACGTTCGACCACCGGTGCCTTCGAAATCTAGCTCACATCTGGTGGGAACACCAAGTAAGCAACGAGCGTGTTCGACGCCTTGTTTACGGCACAGGAAAAGGGAATGAACCGCTCAGCACCGTTATTTCAGACACCAGGCTCCGATGGATGGGCCACGTGTTACGCATGCCAGCCACCGACTCCCGCGACGTGCGTTGTTTGCGCGCCGGGGGTGTGGATGGAAGAAAAGAGGTGGCCAAGCGATAACTTGGTTGAGAGGAATGAAGGCCCTCACTTCGAAGCTGGCCTCAGTTGGAACGTCTCGGCTCCCTGGTTAGGGTATGAAAGACGATAAACATGTCTGGCTGGATACACTTGTTGATATGGCTAGGAGCCGACCACAGCGGCGTTCGTGCTGAGTTTATTTGTCCCACCCCATCCCACTTAGCCTCCCTTTTCAACCACGACCTCACTATTTAGCATTTTATAATCTTGCATAGATTAATTTTTTCTGCTGCATAGTAGCCGACAGGTAGCTTACGCACATGATGCCCGTCCGTTACCGGTAGCTCAGCTGGTTTGCACCTATCGCATTTTATTCCCTTTTTTCTTTTATGTACTGCGGAACAGTAGCTGAGGTGCTTCCCATCTCTAGCTAACGTGTAGTGTGTCTACATTGACTCAGTTGTCGTCGTTTACAGCACAAAGCTGCGCTCGCAGAGAACGGAAAGCCCATAGCACATACACACATGATCCAAAGTAGAGTAATTGCTCTCATATGACGCAATCCCTTATGCAATTCCATTGGCGGTCCACGTAGAATACCCAGAGAATGCGCACCAGTGGCGAGCCAAAACAGAAACGATCGTCGTGTGCGTCTCCGGAATGGGGTTTAGACTATCTGGTTCTTGCTACTGGGATGATGTACCAATTTTTTGGATTTTTATTGGTGGTCATGGAAACCGGGTTCAATGGACGGCAGTAATGCGTGGAGTATGCCGACTATATTGCATTCATCTGTGATAGTTCATAAACTTGAAGAACATCACTGGAGACTAGCGCTACCCCTAGCTATGCTGCGCTTTATTTGCATCCTCGAAATGCGAACATTTCCTCTAAGATTAGTAGCAATCGATGCTTGCGTTGTAGAGCAACTAGGAGTCGGAAATAAGTTTGGATACCTGAGCATAAAAATGAATTCACTAATCACATAGCAAAAGCTAAAGGCGCTTCTGTCAAGCTTTGTTATTCATTGTCAGACGCGTCATCAGGTTCGTTTGTAATGGATGTCTCCTTGGTAGAATCTTGTTAACAATGCCACCGTTCGGGCGGTGTTGCTACTTGGAGCGCAGACATGCGCTGGCTCTCGGCCTTTGACGACGGGTGCATGAGGAGTGCTCGTGTGTGGTGGCAACAACACATCTGCAACAGTGAATTCAGACCTCGTCTTAGGGAATGCCAGTATTCACTTCAACAACCTGGTTTTGCTGCGCCAGTTACGATAGCTTGGTCAGGTAAAGCGTATGTCAGCTGAGCTGTTGCCTTGTCGCGCTGTTTGCTCGTGCAGAAATCAACTAGAAGAGACAATGCGGTGGTCGATCATCAACCTGGCGACAGCAAGTGAAATGGTTGAGTTCACGTCTTGTCACGATTGGATCTACACGTCTGTCTGGTTTGGGGTTCCTTGAACGAGGAGTGCGGATGGCTGGAAACCATTCACGATATGGCTCGTAATCGTAACCAGTAGCATCTGTGTACATAGTTGTTTAGACTTGGATGGTTAATGCTTCGCGATTAAAAACGGCAAAAAATTAAATGGCTTGTGCAAAATAACAAATGCTCCGTTTTTAGTCCTTAATTGCGGTGCAATAGCTAGTGTGTTGTTCACCTTCAGTTAATGTGTCATGGTGATGATACGGCGTAAAACCTGTCTACTTTTAGTGATTTCTATGATTATGGTTGGCTCTAGGTCTATTTAACAGACTGCTGCCCATACTAATGGAGGCGCATGTACAACCCCACCGTACGGCTAACTGCGATTTCACTCATACCTGGTGGGAACACATTGGGAGCAATAAGGGTGTTCGACATATTGTTCTGTGCGGGAAGAATAAGTGGATCCCCTATTGCTGCTTTCGATGCACCAAACTCCCCAGGCTGGGTAGTGTTACGCAACTTGAGTCGTATGTGCGACTGGTTGGACGAAGCTGGTAAAGATGCTAGTGAATAAGAACGAAGACACTTACCTCGAATTTGGCCTCGGTTGGTGTCCCTTGACTTTATGGCTGAGGTCCGAAAGATGGGGAAATCTGGTTGGACACACTTGTTGACATTATGAAAAGCAGACCTCAGCGGCATCTAAGTTGTCTCCTTGTCACTCCTCCTGCTTAGCCTTGTACAACCACGAACTCTCTCAGTGCATATCATAAAAAGTGCAATATTACCTTTTAAATTGTATTCTGCGGCTAGCGTTTTTCATTTTGCGCGTCGTATCTAATGGTATTAAGGTACAATAGCTGAAGTATTTCACACCCCAGCTAGCCTGTATAATGATGCTCATGGCGCTTTTTTGACAGTGAAGCCCTCAAGTGCACCTAAGAGTTATGAATATAAAGGCCCATGAATTCACAATTAGACTTGCCGATGTTCAGGCTCTGGCTGAACACTTGCCCCAGCCCGTCATGTGAACGTGGTTGACAAACGCAGCATGCGTAGAGGGTATGCATTGCTTATTGTTCAACTATGAGAAATAGTGCAAAGCAAAGGCGCCGAATTCATACCTTTTTCAATCAAGCAACTCGCAGTTTTCCAAATGTATCAGCTGCTAGTTGCACTCTCGAGTAAATCCCAATTACTGGTGAGGATAAGTGCGATCAGGTAGACAAACGTACTAAGGAGTATGAGTAATATTCTGATTAGACACTGCCACTCAACTAGTTCCCTAGCTTACATCCGCTGTATTAATGCAAGCAACTAATAGGATGCTTGGTGCTAGTGTATTCACTGAGATTTGCCTGTTCGACGGTAAATTATTAGAAAATTATGGTTTACTTATGTATCAGAGTTAGGTGGTTTGCTTGCTTAAATGTTCATGTTTGTTTGAGTGACATACACATGCATCCGCTGAGCTCTTTTTGGACATGACTGACCATCCTTGCACTCAGCACTCGTTCACGTGTTCTCTATTTAACTTTCTCTTGGTACCTTTTCGGTCTTACCTAGTTTAGTTTGGTTTTCTAGCCCAGCTCCGATCGGTCATTTAACTATCTGATACATAGAGCCCGAACGCGGTATACTGGTGAACCATTATTAAGTTCGTGTACTTACTGATTCGCCTCGCCAGACAACCTCGAACGGTCGTTGTAGCATTGGGGCGTAAGTGGTGTACATATCCTCCGACTTTTTTAAGAAACTGAATTAACGACCGCCAAGAGCTTGCGCCAGTTAGGCAGCAAACTGTGCTACAGCCATGGAGGCGATGACAGAATAATCGAAAAATTGTTACGAGAGCGAAAACGGAGGGTTCGGTTTGACGTGTGGAACCTGTCGTGGATAAAGGATCTATGCCCAAATGCCACGCGCCAACTGCTTGCGCTAAGCCGAGAAAATACTGAAAACATGACGGTCATGACAAAAAGGATGAAGAAATGGGATCCGACCTTAGCCGATCAATACAACAGTGAAATGAAGCAAACACCAAAGTGCATTCTGATCGTCGGCGGCTTCCCCAGTAGACACTCGCCTTCGTGAGCTGTGGAAGCGTATTACGTTCTATGGCGATGGAAGTTTGCCTCGGTTAATAGAAAGTGGCATAATCCTAAAGATAGATCTGTCGCGTCAGTATGTAAACAAGCAAAAGTAAACGACTAGACGTACAGGGCTAGAAAACCAGTATGCCATGAGAACTGGGATGCAGGATCGTAACGAAATAAAACGAGAAAAGCCGAGACCTGGCACAAGGTTTGCGAGCAGTTTTAAATCATATTAGCACCAACGGCGGAGTTTGAACATCGAATTGACGCCGTTGGGTTCAGTGTCAGATCTTTCCGTTTGGTTCTTAACTTCTACATCCACTTCGTTGACTCCACTCCTTATTACTATCATTGCTTCATCTGCACATTCTCTCTTGTACTACAAGCATAATTATTCTCTTGGCTGATTCCCTTCTCTTTGTCTTTATTCTTATTCACGTGGCCAGTAAAGCGGGGACTGCTTGTGGAGGCCGCGTGGGCATTGATTGGTTGACCGTGATGTGATTCTGCGTATTGATTTAGCTCTCCGGTTTCAAACCGCTCCCGCGAACTCTACCCTGGTATAAACACGCATTAAAAAAGAAACGCCTGTAGGAATTTCCTACCGTTCTTGTCCAAATTGTACTTGATATTGTCGGTATTTAGAAAAGGTATGTGGGTAAACTAGGACCAGTTGCTGGTACCATTAAGCAAGTTAGGGCCTCTAAAACTTGATGTAAGATGACGGGGCCCGGGTGAGAACATTAGAAAAGTAAAACCACAACGCAATAAAACAAATCGAACAAGGAAAACAGTGAGACGTACCGCAGAAGGCTATGTTGAAGGAACGCAGAAACGAGCGCCAATTAACGCAACAATGTCTGCCCAAGCATTAAGTGTATATTTAAACAAAGTTCAACATTAAAACAGCTTATTAGATGTGAAGCGTCTAGTATTATATTTAATATATAAACAAATGACGCATAGGCATATAAGATTGCAATACTGCTGTATTTGTCTAGCCAAATAATAAATATTATAGACGTGTTATAATTCTATGCTCTTTGCCACTTTAACATGGCTGTCTCGCTGACCAGCGAGGCGGATGTACTTATAAGGTCCTCTTTTAATGAGCCCAAAGCAGCTTGTTGAAAAGCGACCTTTGCAAATTTACTCATGGGTTTATCCGGTAAAATGCAATGTGACGTTTGCTGCCACTGGTAACAAGTACGTTGTGCAGCTCTCATAGCCGACTAGTACAAACTGTTATCATCCTGTTGAGAACTCCCTTTTCAGTTTGATGAATCTTCCACTCAGTAACCAAAGCACTTGGCCTTTAACGGTGCTGCTTTTACAATGCTTGCGTCAATGTTGACAGATGTAGAGATTGCGTTAGTCAAGCTTGCCTTTCTTGCTTTGCTCAACCCCAAATTGAATTTGACTCGGAACCCGAAAAGTTGCAAGCAAGGCGTCGTAGCAGACTGTATCACTGTTAACCTTCCATCCGCTGAGGCCTATCGCTCGAGCGAGGAATTGCCCATGCTACCGGACCCTCCAGTTAACCTGTAGGGAGCTGACGCAGAGGCCTCTGTGGTACTGTTGACTCCGTTCCAGTTGTATGGGAGTCACGGGCTACTGGGTGTAAAATGTATCGGCGTAATAAGGAAGGAAGACACGTTAACCCACCGCCTCAAAATCAGGATGTTAGCAAACGCTCATGGTGCAACAGCTTGAGTTGAGAGGACCAGCTGTTGCTGAAATTCCCTCATTGCGTCGTGAGGTGCACTCACTGTCGGACCTGCCAAATACTATCAAATGACCATGGTAGAGCATGCAGAGTTAATACACCTATCCTGGTCATACTCAGATAGCAGTAATGGGCGAAGTGGGCTTGCCCGATGACGAAGCGCATCCAAGTCACATTGCCTTCTCCGAATCGTGTTTTTCGCAGCAAATCACGGACAGCGAAGTAAAGCAACCTAACTCCGCCTTGTTCCGTCCTGACCGCTCCATAGACCAGCAAGGGGTGGTGTAGCTCTTTGGGTGAGTTATTGCTTTGACGTATTTGGGACCAGCGCTTTCAGTCACTATACAACTTGGTTGCGGCTCTCGAAATATTGTTTTACACTTCCACGATTACTTTTACGGTCGAGCAAGAGTATAAAAGCTTTATTAGCATCTCTAAGGGAGGATTGAGTATATAGGCCAGCAACCTGGAAACTAGTACCTGGTGCCGGCCGACCTTAACCTTCCAGCGCTTGTTGCACAGATCTATCTTGCAATGCCACGTTAGTAGCGCTTCGTGCGAACCTGCTGGATTTCACGCTACAAGTAACACTACACCCCTTCGTGGACCATTCTAATAAGTACATGAATAAGTACCACCTGTACATCTCAGATATTGTTTTCGCTAGGCTATTTGACCTTATAAGTGCCATCACTTACGCAACGTTGCTTTGTGTCAGTGGTCCCGGTGGGCCCCTAGCCGGACAACCATTTGGGTCTGGAAGGTCCAGGCGTTGTGGGACGCGGCTTTATCCTCCCCATGGGTGATCTCTGGGACCGGCAACGATCAGGTCGCTTTGGGAAAAATTAAGACTAGCCACGGCAGGGATGATGCTCGTCACAATCCACAGGCAACATGAAGGGAATCGAGGGAGCAGCTTCTGTAGTTACGTTCAGTAGGGAAGAGATGACCGAAGAAGCGAGCTGCGTGCTGCAGAGCGTAAGGAACAGCTCCACCGACCAGCATGGTTGACAGTTTTCGGGCAGTTTTCGAGTACGTACAGGCGACATCTTCGGTTGGCCCGGCGTAAGTATCAGAAGGGCTTAGTTGTTATCACCCTGACGCATCTGAGGAAACGCTTCACTTTAAGCGACGAGGTGGTACAAACCCGCCAATTACAGTGTTGCTTTGAGGGGAGAGTTCCCACGCATTTAACGACTATGAGGCAGGTGTGGTTGATGAGCAGTGCTCAGACCCATTTGTCCGTGAAGCACAGGCCATGTAGAGAACCAGCTTCAAGAGTCCATGAGGACTCATGTCGGGCTGAAACGAAAAACAACTAAATAACTTGTTTATTCCCGATAGCCTCGAGAAAGGCCCTATCAGGTATGATCAAAGTTTTACCGACAATATTTCGCAATAGGTACATTGTGTTGCATGCATAAATGAGGTAAGTGTAAGTGTGGCAAAACTCAAGGTGAATTGGCAAGGGTTTGCGTCCATGTGGATGTACTGCAGGGTGAAAATTTGTAGGATGGGACTGTATTATAGTCGGTAATTGTATAAAATATGGCATGTTAACCAGTAACAAACGGGATCTGTGCGTCTGTATATTTGTACACGCAGGTGTTAGTTCGCTCCATGCTGAGGCTGAGGTTGCAATCACGGTGCTTCTCCGCCGCAGTTCTGCTAATGCAACTTACACTGAAACTAGGTCTTTCCAAGATGGATAATTTTCACCCCCACTACCTGAATAATCATCTAGCAACTTGCACACCTCGCCTTAGCTACTCGTGGTTATCTTCCTTAACTTTACTTCGCTTGTAGCAGTTTTGTATAACTGCTGGACTCTTTGTATTCATCACGAATTTGTTGTTAATCAACCTACTTCACGCGTAATTGGCAGCGTTCTGTCGGCATAGCCGTGGACACCAACAGGTGTACTTAATTTGGTAATGTAAGGGGCGCTTAACTTGGTTGATTATAAATCGCAACTATTGAACGCTTGTGGGAAGTCTCCTGTGGACTACGCCATCCAGGCGTTGCACCCTGGAAAACATGACCTCACTGCACTTGAGTAGCTAAACGGAAGTTGGCACCTCTGTTAAGGGGTTGCTCAACCTCCCTTACTAGCTTAACCTAAAATCTCTAGAAGTGTTCAGTGAATTGGGATACTGAGCGGTTACCACAATACCTGTTCGTGTAAAATTTGAGGTACGCCAACCGCAAGGTGGAAGTGTTTACTTCTTACTTTAACTAGGCAAACGCCTTAGGCTGCGCGATCATCAGGTCCAGTCTTCTCAATCCCAGGAGAATCCGGTACTTGGTTACCATGTATCCGTAGTGTTTTTCATCTCGGACTACAACGTAAAAATAAATAAATACTTCATTCTCGACGGTACCAGTCACGCCTTAAAATGCGTGATCATTATACTACAGCGAGTAACATCAGTAACGGTACAGAAATGTCGCGTTAACCGGTACGTACATGAAAAGTTGTGTATGTAGGCGTAATTTGTGTGCGAATTCAGGGGTACGTCATGACGTTGAGTGCATTTATTACTAGCACCGTTATTAAATAGATGAATAAGTGAACAAACATTTTCTTCTCGGCAAAGCGCGGTACAGCTTTACCGGCATGATCCTGTTAACAGAGTCTTGTCAAAAAGGTGTAAATATGCACGTTTTCTATAAAAGTGAACGTATGTGTATGGGTTTAGACATATATGTACTTGTTCTGTTTGTAGGTATGTAGCTTGCGCTTATAAGTGTCTTGCCGTCTTTTTTGCCTGATACCGTCAGGAATTTGAGAAAAACAACATGACTTAGGGTTGCATGGCATTTGCTGGATATTCACAGGGCAGTGAGTTTAGTATGTGGCGGGCCGCATCCATGAGTTTATTTGGCGAATCAGCTAGTACGGGAATGGATCAGATGAGACCTTGAAGATGTTGAGGTACGCGACATGTGTAACATCCTCCGGTATGGCTAGGGACAACTACTTTATTTAGTGGCGAGGCATATCCTCCTCGTCACAATGTCATTATGCAGATATTTGTGGCTTTTTATAAGGAGAACGATCGCCATTCGAAAGTTCAACACGTCCTGGAACACTACCGCCAAACTATTAGCTGGAGGGGCTTAATACGAACCACCCAGCTGGCACCAACTGGTGGTTGTTTGGATAGCCCGCTACTGGTTCCAAACTATATAACTTCCAGCTTCAGCCACTAGCTAACGGGCCGGTAGTTAGGGCAGTGTTGCATGCACTTCACCTTTTATCTTGCGTTTACGTTTCACGCGTTGTCTGTTTCTTGTGCTTTACCCGCTTTGTTGAGATTTCCACAGAAATATTGACCGTCACTCGACGAACCCTTTTCTGGCAGCGATCGATGCAGCAGCAATATTGATCCTCACTCCAAAACCCAAGAGACCCTCGGATGTGGCCAGTAGATGGTCCTGATACCTTCGACGGATGCTACTCTCCTGAGGCTTAAACAAATAAATTCATTTCGGTTCGACTTCACATGCTGCTTGGGTGTCTAGTGCATAAACGGATGGCAACGTCGCGTGATGCAATCGAGAATAAAATATTTATTTATTTATTTATTTAAAACTCACCCAACAGGCATGGTTAAAAACTCCTTGGCTTGGACAGACCCGAACAACTGGGTTCAGCTTCTTACTTGTTGCAAGTAAATATCTAACACACCATCCTACTGGAATAAAGGTGCAACTATAACTTGATCTAAATAAATAAATAAATAGTATATTCTCGGTAAAACGAGACACACCTGTAAAGGCGTGATCAAATATGCATACAAGCATAGCTTCTGTGGAATGTTAAAACATTTCGTTTTTATGAAAGTTATAAAAGAAAAGATGTTGTCCGTATGAGTGAGCATACTGTCAGGTAATAGTCAGACCCAGGGACATTATGGCGCTGTAGCGCGCAAAAATCCGTCAAAACACAAGTTGGGGGTAATTACGCCAGGTAGTGATCCGAGATAGAGATGATCTGTGCTCCAACAAAGCATGGTTCATAGAAGAATTAGTTGCACATGGTCGATGTAGAAGGCTGAGGATTGCGTCAGTGTGAAATGCATAGCTGTGACTTTTTTGTGGCGAGTCACATCCGCCACGTTGCAGTGTTGTTAAGCGGACATTTGTGGCTT